GGTGCACGTCAGGCTAGCGAAAAGTTGGAGGTGATCCACGTGTCCAATCCCTGCAAAACTCGAGTGAATTACTTGAGCAGGTGAATAACGGGACGCAAGGAATGATTTGCACAATAATCTGACCCATTAACCGATTTAGTAATCATTACGTGATTTCATCCCACTATAAATAGAGGGTTCCTCTCACGTTTGTGAGATTAGCTAATTTCTCTCTGTAATAGCTTACTTATTTTCTCTTTGTAATTACTTGTAAATCAACTCGCTGAACGCGACCTGACCTCAGTATATTAATACAATATCAGTGGACGTAGGAGTCCTTTGTTGAAGCATCCGAATCACTTTAAACACCGTTCTCCATCTTTTATCCATTATTATACCCCCAATCACATGTGTTCTCTGAGTCAGCTCATCATTTCACAAGTGTGTTTAGTTAGTGTCAAAATCACGCATCAACAAAAAAATAAGCCTAATATCAATTTCCACAAACTATGTTAATTTGGAAATAAGATATTAGTAGTGAGATCGAGAATTAAATTAAAAAGAATTAACAAAGAAGAAAAAGAAAACATCATTAGAGCTCGATACATACAATTTAATGACCATGAAGAGGTGGTCAGATGTACGAACAGCTAGTGATTCCTCTTGAATTTCCATATGCCAAGTCAAGGAAACTAAAAATATAATTGAATAAATTAAAGAAATGATAATATATAAAATTACTCCTAAAATCACGAAACAGGTTGTGGTTAAAAATCTAGCTTCCATTCAACGTTGTTTTATATAGTTTTGGAAGCATTACTTCAATGCTCAGGCTATTGCAAGCCACAACTCTTCACATTATATAAATGAAAAGGAAGTTAAAAAAAATATTCTATTTAACATGAAAGTTTGTGTTTAATCTAGTTCATTAAACATTTGAGAAATAGGTTGATTATTTTCATTAGTGCTTGCAGGAATGGCCATTCAACATCAATACAATATCATGCATGAACCAAAAGTAAAGCACTCAAGGATTTATACATGTTTCGGTCAATAGCCTACATCGATGAGACCACTTTCATGTCAAACAGTATAGAAATTACTTGCAAGTCAATTACAAAGTTTAAGTTAAGTAAAACAATGTAAAACACTCCATGTTCTAACACTGTAACTCCACCCTCTGATTGTTTCAATGCTCTACTACAATTTGCTTGAATCCAAGAAACCACCTGAATAGCTCGAGCTCCACTCAAGCTTCAGTGGTCGAAATCAACTTTCAACTCTACAACTTGAACAACCATCAAGCTTTCAGCAAAGGAACAATGTTCCAACAAAAACACTCAAACAAGATATGAGAATATTAAAGAACAAACAACAAAAGGAACCTAAGAAAATGAATAAACTCTCTAAAAACTTTCAGAGAACAATTAATGGAATATTCAAGTTCAAAGAAGACACAAGGAAGAAGAAGATGTTATATAATCCTTGCTCAACAAACCCTTAGTACGCTCAACAGACAAAGCCTTACACATGTTGGACTACTTTAAGAAAGTTCTCAACAACTTTGTTGGACTACATCTGAAAAAGCACAACTTTCTTGGACCACTTCTGAAAAATCAGACACCTGTAAATAGACCTTTCATGTAGATTTCAAAATTGAAAAAATATCCTAACAAGTAATGAAAACATGACACCTGTACTAAAATATCTAATTTGAAAAATGATTACACAACTGAGTAAAATGTACATATATTTGCAATAAGTTCATACAAAGTAAATGTGTACATATTTATACAATATATTACTATATGTGTAAACCACGTACATGATTGTGCTTTAAAGTTTAAACAACTTAATGTGCAAACATTAGAAAATAATGTACACACACATAACTTTTTAAGTTGACAAAAACTTTACAATTTCCCCCTTGTCAAACTTATGAACAAAACACAATCTTAACCAAAAGAACAACTCTAACAAGTCTAAAACAAAATAAGCGTTATAGCACAAAGACAAGAAATAAAACAAAAAGTCATATCCTCAAGCAACATCATCACCACAAGGAAAAAATAAAAGATATCAAAGCATCATAAACAAATTCAATTCTAAAAAAAACAAACAGTTCAACATAACCAGAAACTTAAAAACAATAACCAAAACCAAACTCCCCCTGAGTGTCAGACCATTTCACTCTACGACATCATAACCTCATCAAAACAAAATACCAACAAAATACACCTACTCCCCCTCTTTGTTCATAAGGTTTGAACCAAACCTCAATATTGACTAGATCTTGGGGTAGGTAGCTTTCCTCTTGAGGCTCTTGTCTTGATTCTTTTGCCTCCATGAGAAGCAGTTGATTGTTGTGGAGTTGATGCTGAAACTTAAGGTTGAGTAGACTCAGCAGGATCAGTGGCAGCAAGAGTTGGGAAGGTTGGAACTGGAGTAGACTCCTCTTGATTTACTTTTGGATTTGTTGTTGGAAGGATTGGGGATTAGCTTTCTATAGCTTCTAGATTCATATTATTTCGACTTAACAAGCTCAAATTACGTCATTTACACTCAAAATCGTCATTTTTACTCAAAATCATAAACTTACAATGCGCAATTAATCGAATTAAGTATCAATTATAACCCAAAATGTATTAAAAATAGATATGACAAAATGGGTCCATGGCCATGGGTGGACTCGTACCCATCCAAAAAATATAGGATACGAGTCCACCATTTTGGACTCGTTTTGTTTTTACCCGGACCAGCCCCTTTTTTAAATGGGTGGGTCTAGTATACCCATGGGTACCCGTAAAAATCAATTTTTTTTTAACCTAAATCCCTAATTCCTAAAATTTCATCGTCCAACTCTCTTCGATTCAACACTCAACAGTTCGACTCTTCTCCTCATTCTCTTCTCATCTAAAAAAAACCAATTAAGAAATCTACCAAAAAAATCAATTAAGAAATCAAAAGAAATGTTGCCGAAATTGTTCAGATCTGAAGTTGTGCTCAAAAAAAGAAGAAAGGATTGACGAAGAAGAATAAAAGAGGAAGGAAAAGGGATCTAGTGTGCCAAAATTGCTTAAACCATGGTAACCGAAACTGTCAAGAGTTGGCCGACTAATAATCATAAACCAATCCACAAATAATGAAAGAACTTCAGATTTAAACAACCACAAACACGAAAGCAACTCACAAATCCTTACCCATTTACTCAAATAAAGAAAATAAAATAATGGAGTGAAGAAGAAAAGAAAATAAAGAAAAAGAATAAATGAAAGGAAAAATAAGAAACGACAAGGAAATGGATTGTGGAGTGAAGAAGGAGAAGAGGAGAGAAAAGGGAAGGAAAAACATATTACCCATTCACTCAATTGCCTTTATTTCAAGTTGATGTGCATAAATAATGGAGAAAATTTAGCTGTCCGGTCATCCCAAGTTTGGATTTAAGAAAATGGCCTTGAAACTGTTCATCATTTTTTTTTAATTTAGAGAAGATGACGTGGCATAGTTAGGATTAATTAAACACGTAAAATGGGTTAAAATGAAAAGATTAAAACATATGTGGGCCGAATAAAAAATAATGAAAGTTTTTAAAATTTGAAATTTCACTTAAAATAAAATAAAATTTATAATGAAATAATAGATTGTTATACTTGAAAATTAATTAAATAAATAATTTTATTAACTAATCTCAAGCATACAAGAATAATTTATATTTCATAACTTTTAATACAAGTTCATCTACACAAACTGATGTGTTTTAATGTGATTGAATGATTTTGAATTAGAGATAAATTTAACAATTAGGACGTGTTTGGTTGGGTTACTGAGGTAATGTTATTTTACATTATTTCATTATCACGTTTGGTTGTTAGGTAATAAAATATTTCAGTAATCTTCTAAAACCAGTAGTAATCACTGTTGGTAATATAGGAAGTAATCTGATTACCTCTATTTTCTTAGATATTTTAAGATTAATTGGTAATCTTATTTTTGTTACAATTTTATCCCTTATTAATAAAATTTTTGGACAAAAGTACCCTTATTTTGAAATTAATTTACAAATATGTTCATTGACTATTTTATCCTTATATACAAATTTTTTAGGACATAAATACGCTTAAACTTTAAAAAAAACTACCCGAGGGTGGTGGCCAAATCTGGCCACCACCGCCGACAATCGTCGATTGATGATGGAATAGTGCACAATCGATCGAATCTGGTCGACCGTACGCCGTTAAGGCCATTCCCAGAGATTCATGGTCAAAAATAACTGTTTCATGGCCAAACAACTGACCTTTTCACGGCCAAACATTTGGCCTTTTCATGACCAATATTTGGCCTTTTCATAGCCAAATATATGGTCTTTTCATGGTTAGATTTGTGGTCATTTCACAACTATATCTTTGGCCATGAAACGACTACAGATCTGGCTATTATCGGCCATGGATCACATATTCATGGCTGAAAAAGGCTTTATGACGCACGACCGGCCAAATTTGGCTGGTTGTGCACGATTCCGGCGACTTTCGATGGTGATGGCTAGTTGCCGACAATGGCTTGAGGTGGGTGAGGGTGATTTTTTTACAAATTAAAGTTTTATATGGTTGTGGTGTTTTAGTAAAATTTCAAATGTAAGGAGTTAAAAGAAATTATTCATAAAATAATATTATATTAATATTTAAAAAGGAGGACACGTAAGTAATTTTATAACATACCCACCAATTTATCCTCCTAACCAAACATATTAATATAACATACCCGATAATTTATTTTAACTTAACTAAACACATTTCCCTAAACATTCTCAGTAATCTTCAAAGTAATTTATATTTCATTAATATAACATTCCCTATAATATAACATTCTGTGAACCAAACACACCCTGAGGGTAAAAGATATATGTAGGAATATCCTCATTAGACTAAAAAGCTGTTCCAACTAAATATGGAATAAGAAGATGTACTTACTACTAGATTCCTTACGAACCCGAGTTTTTGGTGGAGTGAACTGAACACCAGCTTATAAGGAATAGTTTGTATAATTAGTCTATATATGTAGCATTACTCAACATATAAAACTTGGTTGTAACACCCACAACAGAGCAACACATCCCACTTCATCCTCTTCTATTGGTTACAAACTAAATCTCCGCAGTAGAAATCTAAACAATCAACTAATCAACCATGTTCACATCGAATTAATTACTAATTAAATGTGAACATTTCTCAAATACATAAAACTTAATTTGCACAAGTACTTACATATATATATATTCTCCAACATTATAATCTTCCTCTTAACTATTAATTTGTTGCAATGGAGTAACTCATCACTAACTTAACGGATTTTTTCATCGAGGGTAGATCGTAAGGCATAATAAACAGCTTTCCAGCCATTCTCCGAAGGGTGTATATCGTCCCAAAAGAATGATAATTCAGGGTGTTTGCATACACTGTATTTCTTTGCCCCACTGTCATCTATACTGCCACAGAAGTATTTTTGTTCTAAACCCACACAGCATGGCTGCAACAAAGTCTTCATCTCCGAATTCCCTGCATTAATTATAAGATTAAAAAAATTGTTCTATATAGAGTATATATAAATAGTTACACAGATCAGGATTCTCTCCTTTATACGAGAGAATTCATATTCATAAACGCATAATCGGAATAAAAAAAAATGAACTTTTTTTGGATTGGTTTCTAATCATTATGAGTAACCAATCCATTTGGGAAAGGCTTCAATGCCAGCGCTTGCTGGCGTGGGGGCATCAACTTCTCGATCAAGTTGCCCTAACATTTCCTGACGCATTTTCTTACGCCAAAATTAGGTTACATCGATGCAGGAAACGGCTATACCGGCGTCTGTCGTGCGTCGATGCAGCCTTGTTTCACTAGTGGTGTGACATAATATAAGTTAGAATTTCTCATAATAAATTTACCTGAAAGTTTTCCATTCTTGGTTAATGTAGACATGAATGCAGCGTACAGATCCAGCAGAAATATGACAGAATCCTTGTTCTCATTGTTTAGCTTTTGCACTTCATTCACCAACGCCTCGTTGTGATACTTCGCGGCTGCATTGAAAATTTCAGAGCAATTCTGATATGAAGAAACGACAGCTGCATTGGGCAAGCACCCCATCGGTTCAACGGTAGTAACAGCTATCTTTTTAATCCCCACTGCTTGAAGACGCTTCATATTAATTAAAAGTTGCTGAATAATATTTTTCGTGAGGTCCTGCAAACCCTATTAATGCGTAGAGATCACACATCGTCAGTGCTGGGATAGTTTATCGGATACTATAGAAGGTAATTGAAAGTGCTTTTTTAATCTTATAAACACTTTTGAATTTTCTCTAAGTTATTTGATTGTATTTCAAAAGGGTTCATACAATTATAAAAAAGCTATTTTATGGCTTCAGGAATAAGCTCACAATTTGAGTTTTTCCAATAAACTCTTTTTGGGATTTCAAAAACTTTTATTATATCAAATATATTCTCAAATTACTTTTATAATTCCACCATATACATATTAACAATATATATCAATAATATTTTGCTTACAACTGAGTTGTACACAATTGAGTAATACAAATAGAATGATTACAATGTTCTTTGTTTTTTATCTATTTGTATGATTCAATTATACAACTCAGTTTCAAGCATATCATTGCTCTGTACATATACCCTTCTTTTGAAATAAAACCCTATTCTTTTTTCTTTTTTTTTTTAATCTATAGCCACCATCTCAACAAAAATAACTCTCCACTCTCCCACAGGATCGAAATCTAACAAATTAATTTCATAAGTATATAAAGTCTTATAAATTGCGCTATGATTTTTAGTTTTTATTTTATTATGTAAGTTCCAACCATTAGTAATTTTGATATTTAAATTGCAATTAGAAAATCTAATTTTTTATTTCATGTTATATATATTATTAAAATGAAATAACATGTTGTTAGTATATGATATAAATCAAATAAATTAATATGTCATATACCCTTTTTATAATTTTTAATAATACAACCAACAATCAACCGTTTAAAAAGAGCTTTTATAATTAACAACCAAACAACTAATTAGTCATAAGCTTTGCTACGTAACCTCTTCTTGAAAAAGAGAAAAATTTAAGAATGTACCTACTCGTTCCTATTATGCTTAATTTCACCACATACTTTATCTGTCCTTTAAATATTTATTAATTAAAGTAGGTATCATCGTCAATTATATATAACTTTACTTAAATGGCACATTGAATGACAATTATTAGCGTTCTAATTAAGAAAGAAGAAATAGATAACCTACCATAATTAGCCAACATAACAAAGAAACAGATAAATATTAGTTCACCTACTAATTACCTGGACATTGTTAATGTCATTCTTCATAATATAAGTGAGATAGTCATTCCCAGCGAGAGAAACCAGGGCGATGGAAGAATTAAGGTCGTGTTTGGTGAAGACATTTTCTTCAAGTTGTTGCTGAAAGTTGTTAATTTGCACAGTCATGTTTGGTTCATTCGCCATCGTGTTGAAAACACCAGTGCCTCCATAGGCAAAGTTCATTCCGTGTTGCAGATTTGATCCATTCTCTGACTTTCTCATTTCGAAAGGAATGGGAGATTTCATCCCCAAATGCGAGGCTGCATGTATATAGAAAGTTCAGAAACATTTTCTGGTTTAATATAATGAAAATCAGAGCTGGAAAACAGTAATGTTACGCGACTTAATTGATGTGACTGCTTAACACATTGGTTAAAACGAAGCTACTTACTTATCTAATTGTTCTCTGATCAATATGATGCTGACACATAAACAACGTTATTGGAGCTGTTTTACTTGGTCTTAATATTTTAGATCCACCATTGAGAATTTTCAATGAAAAACCAAAGAAAAGTTTTGGCATTAAAAATGGAGGGATTGAAAGCTTCTGAGAATATTACATAAAGAGATAAAGAGAGCACAGACCTAGAAAATCAGTCAAGACACGTCCATCGGAAAATCGGCCGGCTGGTTTTCCAGGGTAAGTCAGCCCATATGGTTCATTCCAGGAAGCTGCAGATTTCCCCCAATTTCCAGTATCGGCGTACGAGTCTCCGAAAACAAAAAGCTTTACAGAACCAGGGTGATGGTGATGATGATGATGATGTCCATTCCTTCCTTTCTTTGCAAGAACCGCTGTATAATAGAAAATGAGCAGAACACAAATGCATTAAATTCATATTCAAAGTGCAACAAACTTAATTATTATAGAAAAGTGATTCAATGTCGAGACCAGTGAAGATTATTGCAGTTAACAATAAAAAGAGAACTAAGAAGAGGAAGTGTGTTCGCTTTTCCATTGAAGAGCAGATTGGAAAGTAATGGAAGGAAATGTTATGAATTAATGTTTAGAGAAATACAATAATGTATAGTGCATTTATATCAAAATGCATTGCTCTCATTACTCGAACCTGTGACTGATTTAAACGAGGTTTCGTAAATGATATAAATTTATGTTTGGAGTGACCTAATCAACGCTAATTGCCAGCTAAAACGAAAAATGTTTAATTGGTACTGTTGTTTATGCATTTTCAAGAAATTATTTATTGAATATGAAGTTATCCGACCTACTTAATTAGAATAGTTTAAGCTTTTAAGAAAGTAGTAAATTAATGGAATTTCTAATATGTCAAAGTTAAAGGTTTCAGTTGAAATTTCTTCACGTAGTTACATTTGAATTTTTGTCACAACGTTTGAGTTTGGCTTGACCTAGTTCGTATTTGTTTTGATTTTCGGTCTTGCCCATCTATTTTTGTCTTGTCCATTTTGGGATTAACATGCTTCGATCATTTAGAATTCAATTACAACTTAAATCTTGTTTTGAAAATAAGAAATGTAAATATAGAAATATTTTTAAAAAAAATAAGTAATTTGACATTGAGAAATAGTAATTTTCTTGTTTTTCATCATTTTGAAGTCCGAAAATAGTTAATTAAGAGTCTGTTTAGTTGA